GTGGTGGTGGTGGTGGTGCTGGTAGCAGTAGCAGTAACACTGGACAGAGATGTGGGCGTGCTGCCCCCTTGTGGCGCGTTGCCTCCAACTGCTTCTTTCCCGCTTCGATCTCCTCGGTTTTGGCCTTGACCAGTCCTTCATGCGCCTCACAGACAGTGATCAGTACATAACACTCCTGTGCGCGGACGAAGTCTTGCACCGCCCCAGTCATGGTAATTAGTAGTTGGGGAATGCTAAGCGAGTCCAGCCTTCTCGTTCTCCTTCTCTTGAGATTGGAGATCAGCGAGCTCGGTCTGGAAGTTGCCCTGGCTTTGACTAAATCCCTTTGCTTCTCCTACGTTTGCTGCAGCTCCTTCAGGCCCGAGAGGACTCCAGCAACGCCACCGGTGGTGTCAGGGGATGTTTTCTGCAAGAAGGCGGTCCTGGAAAAGAAACATTGCCAACAAACTGCAAAAAACAAACAGTTGCGTTTCATGCTTCGTTCCCTTCGGCCTGGTCTGCAGGGGATTCTTCAAGAAGTCATCCATCTGCCAAAATCTTTTCTGCGACATGTTCATAGCTCCAGTGGCAGGAGTCACTGCATCTTGCACCTTTTCGCGCTGCGTCTTGGTGAGGAGCTTTCCGTGCTTGGAAACCACTGCACGCAGCTGAGAGAGGGCACTGAGGAGGCGTGCCTGGACAAATGAGAACAGCAACCATTGCAAAGAACCCTCTATCTTCAAAAAACAGGTGCCGTGGGCTCCAGGCAAACAGAACCAAGCGCCCATTACTGAACGTCTGGGCTGCTTTGCGGATAGCTTGCCGCAAAGCAGGTTTTGAGCTGGGAGGCAAAATGGTGTTCAACTTGCACTGCTACAGACATGTCGTGCAAAGGTCGGCTTACCTGGCCTGGGGCATCTGCAGGAAGGAAGACGTTTCAGAGCCTCAGGCAGTGCAATTGAACAGCATCAGTCAAAAAGCGCATTTGTTGGGCAAAATCACTTCAACCCCTGATGACCAGCACGTGCTGGCACTGTCGCCTCCCACAAGCACTCCATCATATCAACCTTTCTTCCTACTTCCCCACAGCAACCAAACCTTTTGCAAAGTGAGGGCCAGACCGTTGATTACATCCAACGCTCTGTCAACCGACGATGCAGATTGTGTCAAGTCCTTTTAAACTAGCACACAAACACCACCTACACACAGCTTGATCATGGCCAGTCGCCAAAGGCACATACAGCGCATGAATCAAGACCATGACGGAAGCAAGCTCTCCTTCTCGTCATCGTGAAACTCTGCAAGCTGCTGCTTGCGCAAGGTGACAGCGGTGTCAAGCGCAGCTTCGTTCTTGACAACCTCATCCTGAACGAAGACAGTCACCGGATTGATTTCTTGATGTTGTCCCTCATGAGTACGTCTATTGGCTGAACTGGCGGCCAACAACCATCGCCCACCCCCGCCCGCCAATGGGAGACCGCAACACAGCCTTCCTGCTGTCCTTCTGCACGCGAAGAAATATTCAATATGTATTGGGAAGCACATGTGCATGCTGAGTGCAGCTTGTGCGGCTGATCAAAGCTTTTTGGGGGTTTTGGGGTCCAAAGGAATGGGGCCTAGAGGGGTCCAAAAGCTTTGGGTGTTGGCAAACCGGCCATGGCTTTGAGCCGTTGGGATTTAGTTTAATGCCTCTCGGGTGTCTTGTGGTTCAAGGCTGGAGGTGGTGGCGGTGTGGTAGGGTCGTGTACGCAAGCTTAAGGTATTCACAGGTTCGGGTTCAAGAGAAGTCTAAGGTCAGTTTGCCGTCACCTTGTCAACAACCTTGATGGGTTCGAGCACCACGGGGTCATTTCTCGGGCAGTCAGTGTACGGGCTTACTATTCACTATTTTGTTCCTTGGGACTGCTCAGGCCTGAATTCTTGGCCAGGGTGTGTTTGGGCGTTTCGTTTTTCAGGAACTTAGAGTTGAGGAAAGCTTGAGAGTCCAAGAGTGGACAAGTCTGACAGTAAAAGTGAGGAAGTCTATGCGTAAAAGTTAGTAGGGAGTGACCCTGGGTTAAACATTATTTTTCCCCCACCTCTCAACCTTAGCTGGCCTAGGATGTTTCAAGGATGGTTGATGTCTGGTGCACAGTTGACCTTTCCTAAGAATGTACACGCCATGACGTGCCACTCGCCACTGGCAAAGAGAGTCCATGCATCTGAGGCTTTGAGTCCAGAGCTTTTGGAGTTCAAGTAAACGTTCAGGGATCAGGCTCTCTTGGTAGGAGCTGTGGCTTTAGGTGTATTTGGGTTCAGGGATTTTGTAATGTAAAGGAATTTAAACAATGAGGTCTAGAGAGGTCGTTGTTCTCTTCATTTATAGCCTTTGGTTGTCCGCAAGTGATCTCTCCTCAGAGGTGGCAATCTCGGACGTCAGGCGAGAGCTGGTGGCCGCCAGCTCCTCGGTGCGTGCCTCCAGACCCTGGCAGCCACAATTCTTCGTGCACTTTGAAGATCTGGAACTGTTTCACTCCCTGCCTTGATGCGGGCCTCCGCCTCTTCAATGCTCTTAGCCTTCTCGTCGCCATTGCTTTTGCACCAGCATTGCATCTTCTCGTATGTATCCTCACTTTAGAACAGAGGACAATGATAAAAGACGGTTGTCTGATAGCAAAGGTCCTCATCCTCTTTGGCTTCTTCTTCGAGAGAACTTTGCATGTCCTGACATCGTCGCACCGCAAACCGGCAGTTGTAGTATTGAAGCATGCGCCTGCCTTCAGAAGGTTGACGACCTTTGTGGTTGGCCTTCCACAGACCGTACGCAATTGGACAGCCCACCCACACTTCTTCCAATAGAAAAGTAGGTACTGGCAGCTAGAACCTAGAGAATGCCGAAGCATCTCTCACGTGTCACAGTCCTACCGAAATCCACACGTAATGGTTCTGCCCGACCTTAAAGGGCCCAACCCTGTTTTCCTGACGAGTCACAGCACCATCCCCTCTGCAAAAACAAGTCCAAGGTCCCTTCCATGCATGACGCAGGAACTTTGACAGTGAGGTGCATGAACACAGCGGCATCCAATATCACGCATGGAGCTGACAGGGCCTTCAATCATCAGCCCTGGAGGGGCTGCGCACACCGCGACACACCAGTCCAGCTTTTGTGGTCATGTGTTCCGGGCTTTTGGATGTTTTGACTTTTCCACATCTGCGAAGCTCTCCCGATACTACTTCTGTAGCCGGGATGCATGACCCCAAAAAAGGTACAGCAGAATGTGCGGATAGTCCATCAACAGTTGGTGACGTTTTTCTGCTTGAACTCACTACACGAGGATAACCCGCATGAAGACAACAGGCAGGGATCAGCATGAACTGCAGGCCTCCTCTGGCTTTCCTCAGGTTGGCATCACATGCATATTACATGTGTCCTGTCACCGTGTATGAGGCAACCGCAACCAGACCATTGCCAACAGCCACGCCGAGAATGGAAATGATGAGCACCTGAAGACAGGAACGCAATGACTTTCCATTCCTTTCTGTCGTGCGAAAAGGAACCATCTTCCAACGCCTGGCGTAGCACGACCATCGGTGCAGCTACAATTCTTCCAAGTCGGAAGACGGATCTACTGTTCTCTAGGCAAGCAGATGCCATGTTGCAAGACAGAAGCACATGCAGCAGTTGAAGACAAGACAAACCACAGGCGTTACGCTCGTGCAAGGATTCCGCAGTACCTGTAGGCGTACACGCTGTCGGGTAGCAGAAACATTAGTAGCAGCAGCGGCAGCAGCAGCAGCGAAAGGGCCCTGAGACCCGGCATACCATGGAAACAGTGCCCAGTAGACAATGGAATCACAAGAACCACGGGATAAAAAATCAGGGAGCACGGGCTCACAGGAGCCTTAAATGCGGAGAAGAAAAACCTGAACCCAGGCAACGGGCTGCTACGCAATGCAAAGTAGTGAGATCAATCGCTGCATGGTGTCTGCTGCTGCCGTGCTTTCTGGGAAGCCTCCCCAATCTTTCTCCTCAGGCTAGCCTTTTGGCCATCCACTGCTTCCAGTAGCAATATGGAGCATGCGTCAGCCATGTAGGTCCAAAATGTTGCAGCCTGCAGACATAACAACTGTACATTCCAAGTACTACCGTTGGGGTGGTGCGGTGGCTTGTAAAAAGCTTGGATTTTTCGTACCAGGGATACCCTGAAGTTGGGCACTGCAGCAAGAGATTGGAGCATCTCAGGGAACCTATAGAATATTTTTGGAAGGGGAACCGCGGAGATACTCCGCTGTTGGGCACTGCAGGGCTACTCTGCGAAGATTCTGTGGTTCTGGCACTGCACGGAGACCCTGCAGTTGCGCAGGCACGGTTGGATACTCTGCAGTTGGGCACTATCCCGGTGCCAAACTCACTTTTGCACGGGCCCCCGCCACTTTACATTTACAGGCCCCCAATAAATGTAAAATCAAGGTCGCTGACCCCCCGATGAGTAGCCTGTTAAATTTTGAGCTGGATGTCTCAAGCTGGCCTGAGTGATCCTAGGCTTCCCCGTCTCTTCACTCCCATTCTTTCTCTCATCTCCCTCTGCTGACACTTTGCGTGCACGCTGCTTGCACTCACAAGCACTCACAATTTGCTGGAAACAAGGAGCAAGCAAAAAGATCACGAACAGCAGATGATTTCTTCCATTGTTGCATATCAAGTCTAAAAATCCTCCAGCAGCGCCAAAAAATGTAAAATCGAGGGGCCTGGCTGACTAATTCCCACATCTCCGGGCCCGAAATTGATCTTCGAGAAATGATGTACGGGCCCTGCCAATTTACATTATTGTGCGTGGTGCTTGGGCACTGCATGGAGGGCGAGGAGAACATGAAATCATTGAGATCTAATAACCCCACTGTGAGGGATATTCGCCCTCCCCTTAGGAGCTGCAGGTGTGTGTGTTTTTTCTTTCATGCGTCGGTGGGCGATCGCCTCCTGCCCAAAGACCCGAATTGGGTCACGTTAAGCAATTCAGATCTCGGTCTCGTCGTATAACAGTAACACCGCTTGATCTCTGTGGAAGAGTTGGACCAACTTACCGTATCGAGCTGCACGCAGGAATTGCAGCGTCGGCTATAGTGTGCTATGGTTGCGACACTTTCTCTAGCTTTAGATCACAATCACAGTCACGACCAACACATGCTACTGCCGCTGACCCCACCACCCCGTCCTGAAGCGACAATCGCACTGTTTCCCCACAGCCTATGGCTAAGAGCCTGCAGTTTGACTTGAATCTGAATCCGTCTGTAGTCGCATGCACGTGCTTTGTTTTTGCAGCCTTCACTGTCAACCAGTGATCGAAAATTTCAAATGCGGGCGCCGCTGTTGGCAAGGCGGAATGCTCAAGAAGCATCCCTGTACAGGTAAGGCTATTGCCAGCAACAAGACTTCAGTCAATCCTTCCACAAATCAAAACTCGTTTCCAAGGATAGACTTTACCTGCCCTAGCGAAAGCAGCAACAACGCCCGAGTCAGCCTATACATGGAATTTCCAAGCCGAAAATCATCTCTTGCGAATTCGTCTTGAATTTTCATAAGGGCATATCACACCCAACACACTGTCGCTGACAGGGTTCCAGGCATGACCTCCCTGCAAACGCAAGGCTTCAGCGGAACTGTTGCATTACGCAGCCTCTATTGGCTTGGCGTCCAGGACACATCTAAGCTGCTCACGCGAACCCCTGCCCTGCCCTAAAGGTCTTCCTGCAATGATTGTCAGCTGTCTCATTCAAAGGGCATGGTGCTTACGCTATCACCAGCCTGTGAGACTAGAAGGTTGCCGAACGTCTAGAGACTCCTGCTCAGACCTGCACCTCCAGCGCAGTTCGAAAGAGTCACAGACGATGTTTTTCTGGTACTGGATCTTGTGGTAAAAAAGCAGCGGCCGCCAACTCACGCTGACCCAAACAGACTGCGCGGTGCCCAAACCCGAACGATGGATGGGCGGGAAAATGGAAGCAAGCATCTGCTGCTTGTGCGCATGGATTTGGTTATCGTTTATCAAATGTACAGGCTGGATGAAACTTGTCCCTCAGCTTCTCAACACCAAGGGCTTTTCCGCTTGGCAGAGCATCAGTGTACAAAAAGCCATGAAGCCACGCAATGCTGCCACCGATGGCACTGACGTGACCACAGGCTTCCAATGCAAATTGTAAAACTTGAACTGCTACGACTTGGCTATCTGACCTGAGCCTTCACAGAGGCCAGACTCACGCAGTGATTGATATCGATGCGCGGGCTGCAATGCAACAAACTGCATAATTATGACATCATACAGCCTATAAGCCTGAAACTGACCCGCAATCAAATCAAAGCACTGACCACAACCTTGTCCGTCATTCTATGAATAATGGACAGTTCAAGAGTCTGTGCGGCGGTGGAAATCGACGAGAGCGTACACATCAAAAGAGGCCGAACCTCGCGAGATGAAAAGCTGACGTGTGTTTCAGAAGCACTGCAGAAAGCAAAACATGTAGGAGCAAAGCATGCGCGAGGGCTTCGCTGCCGGAAGCTTCTCCAAGCGTTCAACACAATCTTGTGCAGAAGGCCTAGGTCTCAGAAAATCCATGCAAGCCTTTTGGATAAACCGAATCCTCGCCTGTCTTCCGCTTTCACAGCCCATGCCTTGACTGTGCTATTGCAACACCCTCTGAGACATGGACAGAACAAACCGCTCATTTTTACTCAACAGCCCTTGGGCTAAAGCACAGAGACGCGGCATGCGCTCGATACTTTCAGCTTGCATAACAACGAGGACTCATAGAGTAACATAGAACACTACGCCAGCAGTCCACTGCACAAACGCTCTTGCTGAAAGATGGGATGTTTTCTTCAAACCTCATGCTTCAGAATGCGTCGCCGCCTGTCTTCCATAATGCCAATCATGATCCCTCTTCTGTGAGCTGAGGGTCATCTTGCATGAGGCTGCGCAGCCTCAGCAAATTCAGCTAAGCTTCTCACTTTTGCTTGAACATGTATGTGTTTGATACTCAGGGCCCTGCTCTGGCGGGCCGCATGACGAGCAAAGGGTTGGTCTGGGCTCCTGTCCCTTCAGGTAGGCCTAACTTCGCCACAGGTCAAAAGAACAGGGTGCTCAGAGCCGCAGTCTAACACGAACTGAGACAGCTGCCCGCAGTACCTTTTCAGGGTCGTCGCCACCTCAAGAAACTTTGCCAGAGCAAGTCACCATAATTTCAAACTAATCTCTCACTTCAGCACAACATGTGATACGAGGCTTGCGCTCGGAGTGGGGGACGAAAACTCAGGAAGAGGGCCCGGCAGGACCCAAGAGGCAGGGGCGGAAGTGTGTAATCATGAGCATGACCATCCTGAGCATCAACCGGGGCCCACTTCTTCATCGCCTCGCCCTCCCCCATACACCCCCCCCGAAACCGACCGAATATGCTCTGACCATGACCCTCAAAACGACCGCAAAACAGACCCAGCTGACCACGGTCGGGTGCGGTCTACTCCTAGCTCCAGACTTGGCACAATTTTGGGGTTCCCCCCGAGCCTCTTTGGACCGATCAGCAAAGCGGAGCCCTAACCGCACCTACCATTTTCAAAGTGTTTAGAGAAAATTCCTCATAAATCCACCCAGGTCAAATCCTCGGCATGCTCTTCTGCCAGGGGCCAGGGGGGTGGGGGGGAATTTCAAACATGCCAGGACTACTCATCGCATGTCGCTCACATTGCTGCAAGAGATCATACCCTGCAATCTCCGTGTTTCCGCCAGTGCCACGCAGAAAGCTGTGAATCCAGCCCTTGTCGACTACCTGTTCCACGCTGGCACCAGGAGGGGAATTTCCAGTCTCTCAAGCTCAAAACGGGCAAGTTCTTGCAGTCGAAGTAAGCTTGACAAGCAAAAAAAGGCAGCAAACTAATTTGGCAGCCTCGCAAATGCTTTCATGCGCAGTGAAAGTGGTAGGTGCGCGTTGGGCCCGCCAGGCCCTAAACGAAAACATCCTAAGAAATGGAGCGCACCCGAAACGGAGCTCTCATCGCAATTGGCCGCGGATTGATTGACATGAGGTTGGACAAGTACATGCCCGTCCACAACTACAGTAATTCAAGGCAAAGCCAAAGCCTCATACCGTAAAACAATCCCGAATATTACATCTCACTCCCACAGTCTTGTCATTATGTATTTGATTGCTTGTTTTCTTGTCTAGGCTTTTGTGTCCTGCACGTTCGGGCTGATTGATTTGTGCGATTCGCTTAGTGGCTTGCATGCATTGATCAGGGAAGTCCATTTCGACGGTTCAAAAGTAACTTCTAAAAACAAGCCAAACCAACAAAAAGTGCTTTCCAGCGTCCCCACCGTCCACGCTGCTGTCCAATGGACCATGCTTGCCAGGCAGGCGTCTTGAGCCTGCCCCACCTTTGCCGCACCCAAGGCACTCCTGACGCAATCTAATCATGGTTCGCACCCCTTACACGAGACATCCCGATATCTGAAACAGCGCAAGATGGGAAGACAGGAATGAGCTTCAAAAGTTGAAAAGCGATGAGAATGAAAAACGACGAAGAGAAACTGGCAACAAAGGCATCCAGATTTGCAGACTAAGTTAAATGTGTATACATACCGTATGTACACCTACATCTAGCCAGCCCAACCCCCAAGAGCCACATTCCATTGCATGAAAGTTCTCGGACTTGCCGTGCAGCAATGTTAGGGCTGCTTTCATTTTGTGAAGGGACAGGCATGTTTTTTGTGCTCAAAATGCGAGGGACCGCCAGATTTGGTTCGGGAATCGCCCGAAGCTTTTGAAGCAAGTGAAGCTAGTAGCTTCGGAGCTTCGCGCTTCGCCCCCTAAAAATGAAGCGAGTGGCTTCGCCCGGGGATCTGAAGCAAGTGTAGCTCCGGAGCTTCGCGCTTCGCCCCCTAACAATGAAGCAAGTCGCTTTGGAGCTTCGCGCTTCAAAACCGAAGCTTTTCTGAACCACCACTGACGCACAATCCAAAATGTTTGTTCTCAAAACCGGGATCTGGGTGTGGCTGGTTGCATTTATCCATATCTGCCAAGGCGCAGAAATCGAAAAAGGGCATCTTGCCTGAAAAGAAGTCAGAGAGCTGGGTGAGATCAGCAAAATGAGCACATGCAACACGCCCGTCCTGAAGCTATGTAGTACATGATGAGAGCAAAAGCATAGATGTCTATTCTGTCCTCAGCATGCGAGAATTCATTCCCAAACAGCTTGCCACTTCATGGAGCACGCAACGAAAATCGGCAAAACAAAACCATGCACCACGAGGCCGTGTATTGCTCGTATCGTACAACTTCAGGAGCCATGTACCGATACGTGCCCACGCCTGAGAAAGGAACGAAGACGCTTCGCGCACTTGGGCCCGACCCTTTGAGAACCCCACCACCAGACATGAGTGGCGCAGGTGACGCATCCGTCCTGCCCATATCAGTTCTACTCACGAGCCCAACCATGCATCCAAAAACTGCAAACCAAGTAGCCCAGACCGATCCAAGAGCTTCGGACGCATGATTTTGCTCAAGCCAAAGTCCGTCACCTGCATCGACAAGCAGTGATGCTGCTCAGTTGACTGTCAGGTCATCAGCTGAAATTGCCTTCAAATCTAATCCTTTTGTCAGCAGCAGATTCAAGGGTTTCAAATCTCGGTGGATGATAGGTCCTGAGACAATGTAGCACTTGACCAACATGTGACTGCGATTGCGAGAAACTGAGGTGCAGTCTGGCACAGCCATGCAAGAACGCCAACGCCCGGGCGGTCGAAAGGAACCAAGACAGCGAAACCTTGGGGTCACAGGTGTGCAGTGCAGTTTTCAGCGCCCAGGCATGACCACAACGCAAGCCGAAATCAGGGTTTGCACATGGTATGGTGGCTTGAACTCCTTGGTGTTTGTCTTGACTCTATTGGATCGCATATACGTCTCCACATCTCCACCCTGACCATGGTGCGATGCACAGCTGGAAGCAGGAACACAAACGAAATAACAAGACGAGTATGTCTCTGCCGGCCTCCATGTACTCTGTGAGGAAGAAGCAAGTCTCAGTGTCCAGGCTGGCACCAAGGAAAAGGACCAAGTCAGGATGCCGCAGAGTGGACAGAGTCCTGAACAAAGCAGCTCAAGCTCAAGTAGTGAGTGTCAAGGCTGCCTCAAGCAGTTCACCTTGAAAAACCTCTTGTTGCGGCGAAACCTTTGAAACCCCACGCTGCAGCGATTGCCGTTCAACTCCGGAGCCTGATCTCATGCAGAAGTTCGTCCCGCGCAATCTGGACCTCACAGGTGAACCTACTAAACCTGCACCACCTGCACTGATCGTGTCTCCCTTTGCAACTCGGCAGCAGTAGACTCGCTTTCTTGATGTTGGCGCCGTGTGTTAAGGCCAGAAGCCCTTGCGCAGAAGTCCACTGGAAAACATTCACCACTACTATGGTCCTGCCTGACATCCTTTACAGTCTTTGCCACAACCTGTCATTCCAAGCACATCTTCAAATGGCAGCAATGGCAGGCGATCTGAGGCCATCGAACCTTCAGTCCACGCCATGTGGCCAGGTAGACGGCACTCTTGATGGTTGTGGACAAGCACTTCCCAAACTGTACCTTGCCAGGCATATTAATATTCCAATTTCAGTCAGGCAAGTTCGTATCGACACCAGGATGATCTTGGTTGAGCGGAAGGCAGTTGCACAATCAAGGTCCCACCTCTGAGGCGATGATCGACCAATGTTCCGATGCAGCCATCGTCTTCAATGCCTGGACGGCACAGGATAAGAATTTGATGATGCTGCGCTGGCAGATGCGATCTGCTGGGCCTCAAAGTCCGTGTTTTTCTGGCCAGCCGCTTCATCAAGAATGTTTGCACCTGCCTCTGCCAGCGCCTTCATGACCTTTGTCGGAGACAGCTCTCTAAAGCGGCTTCGCAGCACCAGTGAGCGCTACTTTCTCAATCACGCTCTAGTCCGAGATTGTCCAAGACACTGCAGGGTCATTGTGCTGAAATGCCTTCAAGCAGGTGCACCAGCAGGCATAAAGCAAGCCAGCATCAGCTGGAACCTCATCCACTGGAGTCTTGCCAAACGAGTCATGAGCTGTCGGGCTTGCCTGCAAAGTCTGCGCATGGAACGCACCAGAAATCTGAGTTCCCAAATGCGATGCCAGGTAGGGATGCCAGATGTGAGGCAAACCATTGCAAGGTCCAACCTTCGCTCGCAGGAGAATCCTGACCACCTGACAAGGCATGCGGGTTGGGAACAAGGATTGCAATGGAGCTGCGCAACACCTCGGCATGCCCGCGGGCTGCAGCAATGTGAAGAGCTGTGCGGCCATCGTAGTCAGCTGCGGTGGGATCCGCTCTGCTTTGCAACAGTTTCCTGCAAATCCATAAGTTTAGTGTTGTTGCAGCCTTCACTCTCGGCTGCAAACCAAGGGACTCAATCTGCGGCACCCACGCCGTTGCAGCCTGAAGTGAGTCTCCAAAAAGTGCCAAGAGCTCTAGGACAGCTGAGTGCCCGGCAGCAGCGCAAAGCATAGCTGCACTCTCCATTCCCGACCTTGGAAAGCTGTTCTTTTCTGAAGGCCGACATGGTTGCCTGGCTCCGCAGGAAATCCAGGTCCATGACGTTTGTCGTTCAAACCTATCCGAACTGATGGCTGCCTCTTGTGAAGGCCTAGATCTGGATTTGAGCATCCCTGCCACCTCCAAGAGACCAGCTTGCAGCGGTGTTTACAACATGCTCATACCTGTACATGTTGTGGACATCCTTGCCTGTCGGTGGCCAGCTCGGATCGCCTCATCCCATGGGCTGTGGCCCCATCCTCCATGCACAGAGGATGGGTAAAGTCCAGAGTCCCTCAGAGAGGCCCGCGCGATCCAAAACTGCCGCATCCTGAGCACGGGGCAGGCTGGGCGGTAGCCACATCTTGCGCAGAAGAGTACAAAAAACATCTGAAGCCCCAACAGCGCCATGCGACAGCAGAAATGCCACCACCTTCGGCATCAGGGATACATTCCTATTGACGTAAGATCTCTTCTCGCTATCATCGGCGGCATCTGGACAGCCCAAAGACAGTGCGGCGTTGGCCTCCTCTCGACCTTCAGCGGCAGCAATATGGATCGCTGTTCGGCGGTCGTAATCGCCTGAGGGCAGCGACTCGCGTGGCAAGCACGAATTGCAGGCATAAAATGCTGAAGCGCCCGCCTGCATTCACTTCATAGCCGCCTTCTATAAGGCGTTTCAACTCTTCAAGATCGCCTGACAGTGGATGCTTGGAGCTCATTCTCTCATCTACCTTCTTCAACTGGCCTTCAAGTGCTGCGTTGCAGAGCTCCCCAGCCATGTGCAACCTGGCCCTGGCCTGCCCAGTTCTTGACTCACATGAACATCTCAATGTGGCACCATGCCTTGCTATCCTTCGGCGACCTTCCTCGACAAGCGTGTGAAGTCGTGTGAAGCTGGCAAAGACAGCAAATAGCATCCCTGGCCCACGCAAATCTTGGCGTCTGGCCTGGAGAATTATCTGCCTCAACTCCCACACAATGACAAAAAACTCTGAAAGAATCGACTGCGTATGATCAGTTGCGGACAAGAGCGGAAGCCAGGTTGAAAGTTGGGGTGGCTTCCTGGATGGCGATGCACTTTCCCAAGCAGGTCAGGATAACTCAGGTCAGCCGGCCTGGTCACCAACCGGGTGAGGCATTGCCTCTAAGGAAATCTGGGGAGGCGTGTCGTCGGATGACCGCCTGGCTCTCAAAGAAGCCCGGTAATTACGCATCATATGCCCCAAGCACTTTTCAGCACACCTCTGGGGAGGAGCTGCCGCTAGAACGTCAAGTTCCAGGTGGCTCCCGCTTGCCGTGAGCCTCACAGCTCCTGGCAGATGCGAGGGGTCACGCTTCATGTCTGCGGGTTCAGTAGCATCTGCAGCACCGCAAGCAAGCTGAACCGTCCTGGTGCTGAATGATCTTCAACCGAACTCAGCTGACTCAGATGGTACGACGAAATTACCGCTGTGAGGTGATCCAGCAAGGTGAAGAAATTGATCTTTTCGAAGTAAGCTTGAGATGACCAGCTTCCAGCACAACCGGTGACAGTCAGCAGCCAAGGCAGGATCTCCAAAACCAGGAAAATGTTGGTTTGACTCAGAGCGATAGCTCAGCGGGCTTGGAGGGCTTGGCGACTGTAGCTTCAGAGCACAGGCAGTGCGGATAGCAGCATGCTCTGCACGGCGGCAGTTGCGCTCGCTCTTTCAGCGTGATAGTTCGGTTTCTCGATGAATCTCCCAGTACATGATTTTGATACCTGCATGGCCTCGTAAGCTAGCATCAGGGCCTGCTTGGTGCAGACATGAACAGCGGATACAGAGACCGATTGAAAGAAGACTTACTGCGCAAACTTACCGTGGACGGCAGGGCAGCTGCCTTGTTCAGAGGAGCACGAAGACATTTTCAAAAGATTCGCCCATGGCAGATTCATTCAAGATCCAATTCCAAGTTTTGGTGCAAGCAAGAACTCACGTGATACTTGCCATAAGCAGCACGGTCTTAGGTACTTGCTTGCAGCTGCCCATCTCAGCCCCGACGCTCCGCCGGGTTGATCAGGCGTGCTGCCTCAGCCAGCAAGAGCCACAATCCTTGAGCACAGGCAGACCACCTTCTCTGAGCGCACAGGAAAAAAGATAGTTGCTGAAACCTTCAGAATGACTCGGCAAACTTTGGAGAGCAGTAGATCTGTAAAGGCAATCATTCTCGAGGCCAGGGCTTTGGTCAGATCCTACCTATCTCCCATCCAAACACTACCTATTATCGCTGAAGTTGAAGCTGCTGAACCACGGACACAAAGAGCAGGATGTAGGATTGCATACAAACAAGGTCACAGAATACACACCAAAGTGCGCGCTTGGAATTTTGAGCTGCTGGAACCAAGATGGAACCGTTGCCACCTCTGCCCAATACCGGTGACGTTTGCCAAGGTCTCTTTGGGCCTGGCCTGTAATGCTTAAGGTTAAATGGTGCCAGACCAAAACTCCACCTGCGCTCGGTGCCTCGCCTTAGCCACGGAAGTTGCCAAAGCTCAGCATGCAAAAAAAAACTCCGCTCAGGGAAGTACATCATCAAGCTGCTGCAGAGGGTGCGCTAATGTAGCCTGGGAACTTGACTGCGGACACTTGTTTGGACTAAGCCACAGCAGGCCTGATGTCGCGCAACAGCCGCGGCAGCAGCGGCCACTCTCACACAGGGCCTGGCCTGAGCACTTTGTCTTCGCTGGGGCACCTTCCGTCTGAACAAGGCTGATCCCAGGTGTAAGATGCCAGCCACCACCACTGGTGTAGAGACTGCCCTGGCAACAAGTTTGCATACAGCGAAATCACTGCTTGGCTTGAATGCTTCAATCATTGTCTCTGGACATGTCTGGTGCTCCTACGCACGTGCAGGCTACGTTTACGCTGATGTACATGTGTAGTGCGTTGCATCGAGAACATGTTGCCTGTCGTAAAGTAAAAGGTAACCATAAAAACCTTGGATGTCTGGTTTCGTCATTGCAGCTGCCCTGCAGTGGTACACAGCCGTCGCGTAACGCGAGAAGCAAGGCGACAAGGAGAAGAGGGACAGGGGCAACCTCACGCTCATTCCTGAAGGCATACCGCAGGCATGGCAGGCACTGGGCAAATACGGCAATGAGAAGAGATAAACTCAGGCAGACAGGGAATCCCAGTGTCGCCTCGGTGAGCCAGACACCCTCGGCTGACTCGGTGCCCTGTCGAGCATGTCTTCTAAGCACCCCAGAGCTGATCACAGCTGTAAGCAAAAGCGCCTGCTCTGTGGCACCAGTGGCTTGCAAGCTGTGGAGGATTGGTGCCTGGTCCGCTGCAAGATGCTGCAAGGCAAGACATGCGGATCAGTAAATGCCATGGACCGGACCGCGGAGGGGACACAGATCTGGCTTTGGTGTTGAAGACCTTGTAGCCGTTGTAGCCTGTGAGTAACGAATTAAACCATTGAACTCCCACTGTGCGGCTTCTGCTGCTCAGGCTGATGCTTCGGATGGGAGAATGGCAAGGCTGACCAAACCTTGGTCAGTCATGCGGCCACCCTTTCAAATTGCTGCATAGTTGCATGTTCAAACTGCCGTCTGGGAACCCGCGAGGTGGAGACGACAGCGCGATGGGCGACTGCGGCCGTGCAACAGTCTGTCAGCCAAGCTACCAAGTAGCTATCTGGAATCTTCAAGACTGGAGCGGATGACCCAAGCCTGAGATGCTAGATGCTGCAGAGCTTCGAGCCTGATCCAATAACTCTTGGCATCATATGCGGACTCTAAAAGGCCGTTAATGGATTCCCCAATGCTAGCCGTGCCTATCGTGGAGTCGGGCCTCTGCAGCACTTGCAACGCGTGTGCAGCCACAGGTGGGCTTTGCCGAACCACTTCTGCTCTGTCTCGCAAAGCCAATTTTTGACCAACACTGCTCAGCAAGCAGATGCCGTTGTGTGGCCCAGCGGTGGAAGACTGGCACCACACGCTCCTGCGACAAGGAAAGCCTGTGACCGCAGTACTTCAAGGTCCTACGGACACCCCTGCTACTGCATAGAGATGACTCCAGGCAGGGACCCGATGCCAAGTCTGCCTCCCACAGCTGTGAGTTCTCTACTCCGGACAGTCCTGCAACTCCAACCATTCCCGCCCTCGAACTTGCTGACCCGAGGAAGATGAGCTACTCCTCCAACACAACCTGCGCAAGTGCGGGCTCTTGGACCGCGCCCACAACAAGCGCTCGGCAAGCGCATCTCAAGACCCCGCACACCTAAATGAAAAGCGCCTCAAGTCGCAAGTAATCTCACGCTCTTTCTTGAGATCATAAAACATAGTTCTTACGCGCCTTTTCTTAAGCCCTCAAGCCCTTTAGTAGTATGCGCTCAATCTTGGCTTTGAAACTACTGCGGTCTATCTCACATCACACCTCCCAAGAAGCTTATCATATTATCTGCATCTTCAAAACCGTTGTTGAGAGATCTACACACACAGACATACATACATACATACATACATACGTACGTACGTACGTACGTACGTACGTACATACATACATACATACATACATACATACATACGCAAATTGACAGTTCTGACGTACCGCTGGTAGTGCTCATCTGACACAGATTGACGTCATGCCACCCATGGACGTGCTGGGGAGTGATGCAGCAAGAGCCTGAAGCGATGGAGCTGGAAAAAGATGCGGGCTGTCTCAACAGAGAAGGATGGATCAACCCCCTGATGATTCCGGAGACATAGAAATAGTGAACGTATTTGATGGAGATGACGTTCCTTCCAACTTCCTGCAGAGCGAGAGCTAAAACAGCTGGCAAGCCTCCACGTGCCAACATGACATAGATCTGGTCTCAAAGGAAAGAAAGGAACCACATGCCAACGAGAACATTAGGCAACTTCCAAGCCTTTATCAATGGAGCACGCGGAGAGGAAGGTAGAATAAGAAGAGATACAGGCTTTGCAAGCCTCTGATGCAAAAATCCACACAGGAGGACTGGACAAATTAACCCGTAGAAAATGCCGCCAAAGCATCAGTCGAAGCAAGAAGTAAAGAAAATAGACTGGCAAGAATGGACGCAAATCGAGAGCTTTGAGGAGTGAGAACCCAACACCGTGAGGTTGACTGACGACAAACATAAGTATAGCTCCACCAACGGATTCACTGAAAGCACAAAGAGTGAAGTTTGGTTGTTGAAGCACTCTTGCTCTGGCAATCCTGACAGGTGCCGACATGTGTGACAAAGCCAACGTTGCTGATGGCCTCACAAGCTTCAGAACATCAGCATGTTGAAGAAAAAGGTATGAATGAGTCGTACAGGCTGTAATTCATTGGCAAAGCCTACCTACTAAACCTTAGTCATGGAAACAGTCATGTCATTGTCAGTTCTGTGAGAATAACGAGAGCCCCATATGCTTGAGCATCGGTATTTAGCGATGGACGTCACGGCTGCGGGAAGTTCGGAAGTATTCGGGAGTACTACAGTCGCGATTGTCCGTTGCGCAGACTTGCCCCGTGTGCGAATCTTGTGCGCTACCCCAATAAGTTCCCCAATGCGCGTGCGCGAATCTGCGCCGTCAGTGCTCGAATCACTTCCTCCAGCACACGCATCAGTGCAGTTTGCACAAAATTCCAATGTGTGAATCCTCTCAGCAGGTGCCCGCATCGATTCCTGGCGTTGTCAAATCGTAGGTGCGTAAATCACCACGGCCTGTGCACGCAAACCCAGCTAAATCACAACGCGAATCGGCATGTCCCGCGCGCGTCCCTCACCTACCGAAGAGAGACAGCACAAAGCTTGCAGAATAAAAGAGGCCCACAAGCCACGAATCCATGTGTGCACGTCACACCGGACCACAAAGCCTGATTTGAAACGTAGATCAGCCATTGCCGTGGCATGTGGACAAGCAGACCTGGCCTGTTAATTTCCACCGCCAGTTGCCGAAATCTGGGTCATGATTTTGAGGTGGTCAACACTTTTCTTTGCACCTCTTTTAAGCTTCAGGCTCTTCAGAAACGACACCGGTCTGCTCAAGCAGCGGATAGCGGGGAACACCTACCAGAACCTTGGCCAAGTCTTTGATCCAATCCGTTTCAAGCAGTCCGCCACAAGATTGTGGCAGAGCCAAGTGACCCAGTCCATGCGACTTTGCCGCAGAAACTCATTCACCTGTCAACAAAATGGCTTCATGCAAGCTTGGCTGAAACTCCCCATTTGCTTTCAGCCTCGTGGATTGTCAAATGGTATCGGCCATCTAGGACACTGAGCAGCATCGGCCTTGTGCCAGACAGCCACCGCTACGAGCCCCACACGCATGAAGGACACACTTGGATCTGAGCGCGCCAGGACTAAGAACCTGGGACATGCTGCTGAAGTAGTTGTGGCTGCTTGTGGCTGCCACGAGAAGCACAACAAATTCACTCAGAGGGGATTACAGACGAGATGCTTTTGTATCAAAAAAAGTGCTTCACAAAAAGCTGCAGAGCTGTGTTGTGCGTGCTTCTTTATTTTCAGCAGCTGCAGCAGCAGAGGACGGCATGGGAGGACAACGTGACTATGGCTTCAGCTGAAGCACGGCTCAACTCAGTCCGCTGCGTTATCCGCGACGATTCGCGTGGAAGGGTGGAGTGTTGGTTCCAGCGCTTTCAAGTCCTGCACACGCTTCCGGCTGGAGTACAAGTATACTCTTGACTTGCTGAACCTCGTGGTAGCGAGAGGCGCTGTGGTCAAGGATCACCACCTCAGCCGAGCTAAGCTAAGCTAGGCAACGTTCAGAACCTGTCTGGGGTCCCCACATCCGGGCTGCTAAGAAGACCCGTTTCAATCCAGTCAGCTGCAAAACCAATTTTCACCTTCCGACGTTCAGGTTGAACTGCAGTAGGGAGTGGAAGCAGCATCTTTATGCATAAAAGTTGTACTGAAATGGCTCCTAGGTTTGTCCTGTTGTGATTTTCGTTCACTCTCCAGGAAGGGGTCTCAGCATGTCTCAGCGCCTCTCAACTCTGCCGATCTCTGCTCCAACTGGGGCAAGTTTGCAGATGCCGGAAGACTCGAAAATGTTTGATGAATCCAAATCGTGATAGAATCTGTTTCCAGTTTGGGCAGAAACCCTTGCGCTTCACACTTGGAGGTAGCTGGCTTTCCCGGATACCATTCCCAGAAGGGAATCTGAAGGTCTTGCTAGTTGAGTTCCGTGGTCCCCCGCTTGGCATTAAGCGGCCTTGGTGAGCTGCTCTTAAGAGAGACGTAGATAAATGCTCTGCGGCAAAGAGCCAGCGAGCCTCCACCTCTTCAGCTCCAGCCCATGCAATGATGCGGCGGGCGACTACAGCGCTGATCTGTCCAGGCATTTCTGGGCACTTGAGCATGGCCAATTGCGGCTAGTGCACGAAAGCCGGAGCAAGTCAGCCAGGCGTCTGGCGACATTCAACTCGCAGGAGACAACGCGGCCACCGCCGCCCAGCCTCCTGTGCATCTGAGTCCAACGCAGCTCGGCAGCTGCAGCAGTGACCTGCCTGAGGCGAAGAGCTGCTAGAAGAGCAGAGAAGCCAACAAAGCCTCCCAACCTCGGCTCGCCACTCAGGCTCGCGGGAATTGCAGGAAGGGATGCCAGTTGCCATCTGCTGCCAAGCTGCTCGAGCACCACATCACCGGGTCTGAGAACTGCCTGGAAGCGACTGAGGTCCGGGCAAATCAGATTTGCGAAAATTTGAGCATGCCGACCTCTAAAATGCGGCCTTTACGACCACCGGCAATCTTGAGCCACTCACGGCGACGTGCGAACTTCACCATCTCCGCAAGGACCGCCTCGATGTTTCTTCGAGGAGCTTGCCGCTGCACGCGGTCGAGCAACGCAAGCTGCTTCCGTCCCTGCACTCCAACATCAAAATGGGAGTGCTCCAACGTGACACCTGCAACCTCAGCTGCATCACGTATCAATTTCAAGTCTGCCGACCCTGGCCTGAGGGGGCGAGCGCACAGCGAAGCCAACTTCCTTGTCTCCTACCACTTTCCTTGCCTCTAGGCCCCTCCCCTATGGACTTGCTGCGCCCTTCCATGCTCCCCAACTCCTCTGGGCCCCTTCCCTCCCCTTCTCAAATCCTACCACGGCAAAACGCGCAGCCCCTTCCATCCCCTCCTCCCATTCCCTCCTCCTTTCCACGACTCCACCCCCTGCCTCCCCCCATCCCCAACAAACTCCGCGAACATTCTATTTCAGATTCAGAACTGACCGTCTCGATTCGTTGGATTTGGTCTCTTGGCCCCTCCTCCTACAAACCGCAGCGACATGTGGAAATGCCCAATCCCGCAAGGAAAAGGGTTGGAGTGGGAAGCGTGGAAGGACCCCCTCCCCGCCAACAAACTCTGCGAAGTTTCTTCTGTACGGATTCAGAACTTGTCAGGGCGAGCAAAGATTGTTTTTCGGTGCATGGAGCTTCTGTGCCTTTTTTCTACGACTCCCTGGGCCACTTCCACGCTCCCCACTTCCAGCAAGCCGAGAAAAAATTAGACTCCGTGAGGGGTCATTGGGTCCGGGGGAAACCAGAAATTGAGAAACGAACCCCAATGATGCAGATGATGCTGGCCCCCTTACGGAGGCTATCATGAGTTTTCGCGAATTCTATGCCGGGTTTGCGGGTGGCTTTTTCCATGCATATAATATAAAGAACAGAACTGTTGATAAGTGGGGTGATGGGTTGCAGGATTTATATGTTGTGATGCGGGTTCTCTGTAGTTTTCATTGCTGGTTTTATGGGATTTGCGTGTGGGTTTTTGGGGTCTAGCACATGCTTCCATGAAGATGATTATAAGATTGTTTTGGCAGACGGGCTTTTTTTCTGGTGGTGCCAACGACTTTGCAGCGTGAGGTCACTTGAAAAGCCGTTTTTGCGAGGCTGATGGCGTTTTCAGCGGCTAAAACACCTCAACACTAGGTGCGAGCAACCAAAAGATCGCTTCAGTCGCCAAATGGACCCTCAATTTGTGTTGATGATGCTCGCGCACGGGGCGTGCGCCCGTACGCGAGCATCATCAGCACAATTGGTGGGTCCATTTTGCAAAAGCAATTTCGATGACACCCGTGCTTTGAAGCTCCCCCCAGCACACAGAAGGATTTCTGAAGGATTTTCTGGGTCCCCCAAACCCCCTGAAAAAACATCATGAGCCTCAAGGCCTGCCCACCGGGCCTGGGCCAAGAAGAGTTTAAGCTGAAGAACAAGCCAAGGGGCATAGGAGGGCCAACAAGTGGAGAATAGGTCCAGCAATGATGCTGATGATGCAGCATCATCCATATGGCCAAAAATGCATTCCTACTCTATTGCTGTCGTTCACCACTACTATTCCGACCGTTCCTACTTCTACTCTGTTGTGCTTCTATGATGAAGTATTTTTTATCCTGTTAGTTACTGCGCCTGCTGTTTTGTTAGCCGCCGGGCCTGTTGCTGCTGTTATTGCTGCGTCTTTGCTGTGGACCAAAAAGGCGGCAGGGCCGGCCCCTGCCGCTGCAGGCAATGCCCTGGCAGGTCATAGCCCTGGCTTCGCCAAGAGCTGGATGCCAGTGCCGCCGATGGCATCATTGGACCTCCGTTTCTCCAAGCCCCTCGCGGACCCCATCCCAAAACCAAGCCAAAATTAACATGCGCTTTGGAAGCAAACCCCCCCGCTACAGAGGCATTGTTGAAGGCGTTGTTAAATTTCCGAGAACCCCCCCAAAACAAAATGAGCACGGATGTTTTTGAAAACTAGCCCCGAGGCCTATCTGGGTGCGGGCACCAATTCCTACAGGTTGGAAGGGCATCAGATTGGAGAAGCGAGCCCCCAATCATGCTGATGATGCTGGCCCCACTGGCCAGCATCATCAGCTTTGAAGGTATCAGGCTGCTGAGGCAGTCCGGATGCAGGCTTCATGCAGGCCATTCTGTTTTTGTGTGTTTTGCGATAGCTTTTGGCATTTATTTCATTATGAAATGATAGGTGTTGCCTCAACACCTGCTTGGTGGTTTTGGGGATTGTTCATGGTTTTCCGGAGCTTCTTATGCAAATTTGATATCTAGTCTTTCCTGCCTGGCTCGGATGATTTTTTTGTGTGGAAGGTCTTGTTCTCCCTAGTTTAATTGAAAAACCCAAATGGGGGCCCAATTGTGCTGACAATGCTCCTGTACCGTGGGGGGGCGCGCATGCGCGTGCGGCCCCTCCCCCACCCCGTATGCCAGCATCATCAGCACAATTGGGACCCCATTTTTGCTTAATTGGGACCAGGAGAACCAAAAACCCAAGAACAGCCAGCAAAGAATGCTGCGAACATGGTTCTCTGCACAGGCTGACCATGTCTTAGCCCACCTGTAGACTTTTTGCAATTCAGAGGCAACTTTTTTACGTATTTGATAGGCTAAAATGGTGCAAAATCATAGCTTAGGGCCACAAAAAGTGCTGGAAATGCCATGCAACATTCACAGTTTATAGGGTTTGGTCTGAACAATGCATGAAAATCCTTTCGCATGCTTGTCACGCAGCGCAGGTGCTACCAACACTGGTATTTACTGCCACAAACACTGCCCACAGCACGCATTTTCAGCCTTTAGGGTTTATAGAGCTTTTTAGCCAATAGCCAGCATGATGAGCATCATGGGGCCTGTTTGGGCCCCCGATTTCCTTCTTGACAACACACGCATATGAGATTCCAACACCCCTCCAAACCCAAGGTATGTTGAGGTGTCCGAACGCTCGCGCACGCCCCTGCCCCCCGGCTTATGTCATACGTTGAGCACTGAACTGCTGACCGACCACTCCACGGCTTTCTCTTCATGCTGCCTGCGTTGCCTGCCCCTGAACGCAGCCCCTTACATAACAGAATGGAGAACCGTCCACGATGCTGTCCAGGTACTTCCAGAGCCCACGTTACGTTGGACCAAAGATCAAGACGAGCTGAGGAGGACAGTTGCCACGGAAGCTGGGCGCGCAGCCTTCCTGCCTGTCACAGCAGACCAGCAAACAACAATACGAGGCAGATGGTACTGCAGTAATGCCCGATGACATGTGCGATTCGAAAGGTCGTGGCTAGCGCATCAACAGAAGCACGACAAAAAAAGTTGGCACCTGAATGGCTTGGATCAAATCGATCGCCGTTTGCCAAGCACGGCCGTGGCCCAAGGCCCGAGCCAAGCAGCTGAAGGCTCCAGGGCTTGGCATGACTTGAGAATTTATCGCGGTGGTCAGCAAGTTTAAAGCCATCTGCCAGTGACGCTTCTTGCAGCATGCTGCAATGACCGTGCTGTAGCTGATGCCGTCAGGCTGTGGAACCGTATTGCGATCAAGAAGATAGAGGGCAAGCGGCCATCTTGCCGCGCGCTCCAAAGCCGTGAGAGTAGCATTCAGTGCAACCACGTTAGCACCAGCTGTTGATTCTTGAACCAGTTCGGCATAGAGTAGAAGAGAGCGCTGCCAAGCAAACACTGAACCGCATCCCAGAACTGCAGAACTGTAGGCATGCGGTCCTGCTGGAAGATTCTTCTGCCGCATTTCTAACAGAAGCCCAAGCACCGTTTCCCACAGAGAAACGCGCTCACAAGCTGCCATGGCCGCACTGTAAGCAACAATGTTGGGCAGCACACCTGCAGAGTGCTTTGGCGCGCTTAGTAGCAGCCACAGCGCATGCTGCCATTTTCCGGCAGCACTGCAGGCCGACCCAATGGAATTCCAAAACGGACCATCAAGGTTAAGGCACATGCGTTCTGATTGCTTCAACAGGGCTACTGCATATGCCCATGCAGCAGCTTTCGCACACACACTTGCCGCGGCCGTGTAGGCTATGATGTCTGGCTTGGTCGCTGCTGCGAACAGCAAAAGCAAAGCTTGCTCCCAGTCGCCTGTGCGTTTCAGTCTACTGATCGAGGCTGTGAGGCCACGCAGACCCTCCACTTTGACTTTACCCGAGATTGAAGGCAATGCCGCATCTGACAGTCGCCGCACGGTCAGAAACAGCGGACATGTGGAAGACGCGTGGCTGACATGTGTGGCGCTGGTCCTGCATTGTTGACCAAAACTTCCGACCACTGAGCAGGCTTCACCTCAGCTCCAAGACTTGCCACAAGCCTCTCACATGCAACAGCAGCTCAAGCCACTTCCACTAATGCCAAGCTACACGTGCCAAAACGTAGGCTAGACCGAAGCGCCAATGCACATGCTGCCATAGCACCGGCATTTTGATGACAACAATGTGTGCTCAACAGAGCACGCCTTGTCAAAAACTACAGTGTCTACACTTTGATGCCAAACGGCCCTGATCAATGCGAAGATGTACAGCCATGGAACAAGGGCACACACTGATGCATTTACAAATACCGAGAACTTCACCTCGAGCGCGGCAGCCTTTGATTTTCAAGGTCTTGCCCAGCTGACCATGACTTGCAACAGGTTGGTGCACCTGCTCTCGCAGGCGGCGCATCTCGGCCTTAGGCCGAGCAGTTTGCAGTTGAGAGGCAATGGCTTGCAAAGGACTGCGCTTCGCTGCCAGCCTCCAAAGCCTTCAAAGAGAGGACATGCATCCACATGTAATCAACTAGCTTCCCACCCGTTTGTCAGCAAAAGACTTCTTGCAACCAACAGGTGTTGCAGCACACACTGCTCCGCCTGCTCAAATTTGTCAGTTGCCACATCCTGCATCCTGGCCAGCTGCTGTTCAAAGCGGCATGCCCTTGGAGAACAATATGACGGTAAAAGTGAGGGAAAAGGCTACATGCTTCTGCCTGTACTGTGCTCGAGCTGCTTGCAGAGTTTCTTCAGCTGTCGCAAGCTCGGACCTGGCTGCAGATGCCAACGCACTCAAAACCATGCTGTTGCGCGTTTTGACAGACGCACCTGAGCTCATCCTGCCGCCGTGCCGATGCCTGGAGGTTCATGACAGCATTCTAAGTAAGCATTCATGTCAGCTTGCCTGATTGCAAACAAACACGTCAGTGAGACCCTGACGGCATTGCCCAAGAGTTCAATGGGTGCCCCTGGCATAAAACCAGCAGTCTCAGCAGAAGCACAACCTTGACACCGCCTTCTAAAGCACTCCGTGACAGTGGCTTGCCCAGCTCCTCATGCACGATGCACAACATTGTTGACATGAAGCAGCATTACTCTGCAGACAGTGCCAGCGGTGCCTCCCAATCCGGCCGGGCAACGCCAGCATCTGCCCTCCTGATAACATCTTGGCGAGACTGTATGCAGCGCAACTCCTCCTTAGCACTCCCTATTGCTGTGATACAAAATGCAAGAGCCAACTTTTCAACGCCAGTTCTTCAGCATTCCTGGACTACTTCTGGTTGACGGCGACTTACGAGCTTGAGCGCATGCTGCTGGACGTTGTAGTGCCGGGCATCTGTGTCCTTCCTTTTGACCGACGGCCTTTGCTTTAGGCCCGTAGGAGTTTGCCTGCTGTTGCGCACATCAAGTCCCTTGAATTAGACCTCACACTGTGACTTTACCATCGACAAAACTGGCCACCTTGCATCAGTGAAGCCTGCAGCAGTGCACCACAAAGTTCTCTCGGTGACGGCTCCGTGACAATGTAGAAGAATGTCGGTTGATGTCGGTTGTCCGAGCAACGAAGCGCGGAGCCAGCATCATCTTTTTGTGGGTCTTTGCTTCTAACGCATTGGCATGCCGCTTCGTGTTCTGCATCTTGCCCTTGGGGCTGTTCCAGTTTTGTCTCCTGGTCTGGCTGAAGCCAAGGCACTCCAGCAATGCCAGTTGCCAGCATGTAAGTCCCACTTGGCAAGAGTAAGGCAATTGGCAAAGGGCTTTGGAGGACGGCTCTCAAAGGATGAATTTTCTTGAGGTACAGCTCTGTCAGTGGTAAAAGAGGCCTGTCTTGAGCTCTGCAGAGATGGTCACTGCCTGGTCCTTCGACAACTCAAAAAAGGGGTGCGGCCTGGTTGGCTCCGCCAAATTGGCCCAGTAGCAAAGTAGGCCATGCTAGGCATGGCTCTCTTGGTCCGCTCCTCAATCTCTTGTGCCATAGCTCGACTGGGCCTACTCATCAGCAAAAGGCGCCCTACTAGCTCGCCTCGATTCGAACGAATGTTCAGCAAAAACGTTCGAGTTTCAACATGAGGCAGTGCGAGGGTTCTCAGGGTCGAGCGACACAGCACCCTCGTGGCCCAGCAGGGGCTTCAGGAGGCTGATGAGCTGTTCGTGAATCTGGCAAAGGACAAACTGCGTTGAAATTTGATGATGCAAGCGACTTCACATACTTCACGGGCGATCAGATACTGACATCTCAGAATACAAACGCAGCTCAATGTGCGCCGGAGCGTGCAAGGAGGCATTTCTGCGTTTGAGCTGAGAGCCGATCAGAATTTTCCTCCTGTTGTGCTCAGGACTTCTCCCCAAGCTTAAGACACATCATTTTAACGACGCTGAGTGCGGTGCAAGCCATTCCCGAGCCTCTCGACAGCGACTACAGAGCACTTAGCCGCAAGTACCCAAGCTGGGCCTCATGGTTCAGTGGAAGCCAGGAGTCTTCCCTGCACGCCAAACTGTGCGTTGCTGGAGGTCCCTAAGATCCACAACCTATTCCCCGGCCTGCAGTCTGGTGACCTTGTGCCCCCACGAACCTGTGCCCGCATTTTAGCTTGCATGGTTTCTTGAGGATAAAACCTTTTGATCTGATCAAGACGTGAAAAGCATCTGCGGACAGAGTAGCAGCGAAAAGATGGAACAACCAGGTCAGAAAGTGAATAGCAGTGAAAAAGACCGAATGAATGTTGCTTCATTGATTGTCTTGCAGGAGCTGATGCCCTAAGCTTTTTACAAGCCTTTGCATTGAATTTGGCTCTGGCGTTTCAGTCATCTGAGAAAAAGGTCAGAACTTTCTGAGGTGAGCAAGATGCTGCAAGGAGTATGCGGGGCTCAATCCATGGCTCTTGACCTTGACTAGACTTGCTGTTTGGGTTGCTTTGCTAAGATAGTTTGCACTTCGCATGCTGAGACTCAAAGCCGGTCTACACAACAAATTGCTCCAAGCAAATTGATGTGGAAAAGGAGCGTGTCGACGGATGGATAGCACATGATCAGAAATTTTGACGACAACGTCACGATCTCTAGCGATTGCTTTCGTTCGAATTACCGGCACAGAAGTGATGCGCGTGAAAGCTCTGGCTGCTGCTTGGCCAAGCGCTCACAACAACAAAGAACAAACCTTACCAAGGCCCAAACTGCAGCATGGTTTTCTGTTCTCGCCGCAGTGGCACCTGGAGCTGGCCGGCAGCTTGAACTCCCAGCGCTAACGTCAAGAAGTGCGAGCCCTAACCGTCATTTTCCTGCATGCAAAACACACTGAGTGTGCGGTAGTGTAATCCCATGAATCCCTGCTTCATTGAAGGGAAGGGAAAGGTGCTGTGTAGCCAGTCCATGCATGTCATGGTAGGCTGTGGGTCTGTGCATACCTTTGGCAATGCAAAAACCACAAACAACCACGAAATTCAGCAAGTATCTACATGGAAAAGCCATTCCACAAGTCTTCTTATCCCGAAGCTTCTGGCTGAATCTCGCTTGCTAAAGCCCGAGCTTTCCCAGGCGCCAGACTGCCTGTCTACATCTGTCTACTCATCCCACTTCGCTAGTTTGCTTTAACTGATGCAACTTGACTGTAGGCTGGGTGGACAAGAATCTGTACATGGAGCCTCATGCTTTGTCCAAAATCTGTTGGCCTGGACCTTAGCAAGTCCGCTCTGCAGCATGCCCTGGTAGAACGCCCATTGTGTGAACGCGTTGTTGCAGCCCAGCTTCCTGAAGCTGGCTGCTTGGACAGCTTCGTCAACATGTGGATTAAGCGTGACTGGTTGTGCAAATTGGTTGCCTCAAGGCAGGATACAAGGAAGCCACGCCATTCGTCTTGCTCCTGCTTGACACCTAGCTAGAGACTCTAGAGTCGGAGCCAGTCAGGCGGGACGACCTGATCCTGGGTTATCCCACGAACACCAATTTGCCTGGAAGACATTCAACCTCTCAGCGATGGTCTGCAGCGACATCTGCGCGGACACCTGCTCTTTCAGTGCGTAAAAAAAGGGGGAAAAGCAGGTTCGAGGCGAGCCCAACTGTTCAAAGTACTGGACCCATTCCAGAATGTTATGGATGCTGAGTCAGCAGCAATGTCCGACTTCTGCAGGTCTCCGCGCAGCCTCACAAGCCATGTTCTCAACACATCTCAACACTGCGTTTGCTGCAAGAATCTGTGCACCTCATCAGCCCGGACCTCGACACAGGATTGGATGAACCCAGTAGGCAAAATCCACTCTGAGGATCCCTGAGGCCCTGACACCAGCTCGGAGACACCCAGATGGCCATCCGCATCGGCGCCAAAAGCTTCGAAAATTCCAGGCCTTGCTTCTAGTTCAATGTCAAGGTCCTAGGCTGTCAGGTCAGGCACACATGGCACCCATGCATGGAGTGTTGATTGCAGCCGGAACAGATCAAAGTCCACACATCAGAGCTGAGTTTCGTCGAGCAGGTTTCGGATCCTTGGATGCAAAAATTGGGCCGCCGTCCAACGGCTAAGGCTGACCGCTGCAGCTGAGCCAAAGCTTGCT